CTTTTGACCTTGTGGATCACAATACTCTGGCAGCCAAGATTCTTGGGTTGCGCATTCCGAGCGGGGTTGCTCGTTGGGTCTGTGACTTCCCTATGGACAGGCGGCAACGTGTACAGCTTTCAAGTGACTGTTTCTCGGAATAAGGAGCCGTTCCATCTGGAGTGCCTCAAGGTACCAAACTTGGACCCTGGCTCATCAACCTTGATGATCAATGATCTCCACAAACCCGGCTTCTAGGCGTGGAAATATGTGGATGATACAACACTAGCTGAGGTGGTCCCAAGGGGAGCACAAAGTGCAATGCAAGTCGCTGTTAAACCTGTGGAGCAATGGTCTATCACAAACAAGCTTCAGCTGAACCCAGATAAGCGTAAAGAACTGCTGATTGACTTTAAAAGAACGGAACACCAGTTTGATGCGATTACTGTCAACTCTTCGGAACTTGAACGTGTGAACAGTGTTAAAGTTTTAGGCGCAACAATAGCCAGCAGCCCTACAATGGAATTATCATATTTCTGACGTACTAAAAAAGGCTAATAAGCGGATGTTCTTTCTCATATTGCTTAAGCGCGCCAAAGTTCCGGCTCGTGATATCATTAGTTTCTTTCTCACTTGTTGCTCGGAAGCGATAACGAAAATCTCCTTTAAAAGCAGGCACGTTTAATCGGTAAAAAGACAGTAAAACGGTAACGGCTTATAACACAAATTCAAAAACAAAAACCTCCAAAATGCGATTAAACTGAAAAAAAAAAAACAAAACAAACAAACAAACAAAAAAAACACGCCAGAAACCTACGCGTAACTTGCTTACGAACTGGTCAAATTTTAAAAATGTCTCGGCGCGCGCGCTAATCCCACGACACGCCAGTCTGGTACTTTCTTCTTAACACTTGTATTAGACCTGTACTCGAATATTGCGCTCCACTTAACCATCATGCACTGCCTGATTATTTAAGCAACGACATTGAACGTGTTAAAAAATGCGCCCTATCTACAATTTCAACTGGCCTATCATATCTCGACAATCTTTCATTGTTTAACTTGAACTCACTGAAGG